TCCATTACTTTTTTTATAATCATATTGTCTGTGGGTGTACTATCTAATTTCCAAATTTGAGCATATAATATCCTAGCCACTGTTAAGATATGTATCATTAGGCATTCATTCTCTTTTGTATTCTCTTTCATTTGGTTATCCCTAATAAAAATATTTCAGGTTGAGGTACTATCTTTAGACTTGTTATTTCCTGTAGCCAGAAAAAATATTTTTGGTAATTTTGCATTATGTGTTTTTGAGATATTAAAAAGTCTGAATTATTAGATTATTATTTAATAATAATCTAAACTCAGGAAAATATTTTCTGTTCAGGGTTATCTACCTGCATGTACCACTTCTAATAATACAGTCTACTATGTTCATATTATAGGCTGCTTGTGGTGGCTGTCATATGCTGGTTTTTGCCACCCCAAGGCCTAAAATATCTGATAACATTCATGAGCTAGAAGAAAATGAGCACAGTTTATCAGTTAAAGTCACTGAAATGGGAGGAGATGCAGACACCTTTCAGCAAACATTTTCAGCACGTGTGCGACGGAGAGAGAAGGTACACTATAACTGTTCCAAGCTGCCTATTAAAAATTCTGTTTGAAAAAGATTTAAAAGTTTAAGAGATTTCTTTAATTTTTGGAACTTTTTTCTTGAAATGTTTTATCTTCATGATGAATTTTTTATTGTAATTTTTGGAATTGGAGGAAAGAATAAGTCTGTAATACTTTCAAGGAATGTATATAAAATATGAGATAGGAAACCATAATTGAAATTAATGAAAGGAAGTGGGATATTTATTTGTTTATTAAATTTATATGCTACCCATCTCTCTGATAGGGCAGTCCTGGGCAGTATAAAAGTAAATCAATGACTTTCAAATGATTTTCTTTTTGTCTTTCTCTAAATAAATAAAGGTTACATTATTTCTAATTTATAAGTTTGAATTTGTACTCCAGCATACTATGAACTTGTTAAGTTAAGGTTTAATTAAGTAAATTAATTCTGGCTCAGATAATTTAAAATTTTCAACCAAAATTCTAAGAGAATTAAATAGTTTTGATTCACAGAGCCTGTTCCAAAATCTGAAATGTGGATAGTATCTTTAATTTAATATATTCTGTATATTATTCTTTAAAAATCTAATATAAATGCTGATTTGCTTTCTTCTAACTCTTTCAGAAGGAAAAATCGCCAGAACAATGCAGTCGATTGGTGCGAATGCTTCCCCCATTGGGGAAAACTTCCTTAAAACTTGCATCAAGTGACATCAGCAGTACTCTTCCGCTTGGCAGAACTGATAGTAATAAAGAATCTGAATCTATTATGGATCATGAAACAGGTAAACTATGTTTTGTTTACATGTACTCCTTGGCTTACAACCTTTCGTTCAAAATTACAACAGCCCTGAAAAAAATGACTTATGACTGTTTTTCACACTTATGAGACAGGGGTGGGATTCAAAAATTCCACCAACCGGTTCTCTGCTCGGTTGCTGGGTGGGCGTGGCCATGGTGGGTGTAGCCTATCAGAACTTTCGGGAGGGCCATTTTTCATCTTTCCCAGAGTCTGGAGGCTTCCCTTGGGCCTCTGGGAGAGCGAAAGTGGCCTCCCCTGGGCTCCGGAGGGCCTCCAAAAGTCAGAAACAGGCCCATTTCTGGACTTCCAGAACTTCCAGTTCGGCCCATATTTTGCCCTCCAGAGCCTCCGTGCAGAACCTGCACTTACCTGCATCCAAAATGGGCTGCGTGGGGATTCCTGGGAGGGGTGGGAGAGGTCAGCTGGTCGGTTCAACTACCAGTTCGGTGAACCAGATATAAATTTAACATCCAGTTCAGCTGAACAGGGCTGAACTGATTGAATCCCACCCCTGCTTATGACCATTGCAGCTTCCCCATGGTCACGTGATCCAAACTTAAGATGCTTCGAAATGGCATGTATTTATGATAGTTGCAATGTCCCATAGTCATGTGATCATGTTCTATGACCCTCTGACAGGCAAAGACAATGAAGAAGCCAGATTCACTTAACAACTGTATTACTAATTTAACAACTGCACTAATTCATTTAATAACTCTGGCAAGAAAAGTTGTCAAATAAAACAGAACTGACTTATGAACTAATGTGTCAGATTCTTTGTGGGACAACCTCTACCAAAGCATCATTAGGTCAGAAAGAATGAGCACTTCAAGTCACCATATTGACATCTGGTGCGACCTTGGAGGCATTCCTTCTCCATAGCTTCCCCTGGCCCTTAGAACTGGAGGGCCCCTATTCTTATGACATTCTTGAAGACCAGGGAGACCTGATTCCCCAGGTTAAGATGGGAGTGAGTCTAGCAAATGTGTCTAGCGAGAGAATATCGATCTCGGATTTATATTGTTTGCATGATAGTAGTAATTTCTACTACCACATCAAAGTTTATGAAAGTAAGTTTCATTGTATTTTATTTTTGTATTTGTCTCTCTTCATTTGCGTATTGAGACAAAAAGTTTCTCCCATTATATTAACTTTAAGAGGGCAAACTATTTTTCTCCCCAAAGAGTCAAAGTGTATTATATATTTTGTTTTAAAGGAGATAAGAAAGAGAAGAACAGTGATACAGAGGACAACTCAACAGACAATGATTCAGATGAAAATGAAGAAAGAACCCTTGGTGATACTACAGATGTCCTAAATATGGTAATATATTTAATAGTGAATGGTTGAAGAGGTCTGCAGGAAAACCTGGAGATACACAAAATAGGAAAATGTATTATTTGAATTGTAACAGAACCATTGTCTGCCAGATTTTCTGTCTAACTATACTGGGTTAACTACAGTTCAACAGAAAAGAAAAACAACCAGAATGCTTTAACAGTTCCAAATACTGAATAACACAAAACCTGACCAAAGTAATTTAAAATTAAATTTAAAATTAATTTAATTTTTTTAAATAAATAAAAAATTAGGATCTGGCACATGTGACACCGATAGATATTCTTACAAATTGAAAATAGAAGGCATTGTAATGCTTCATTAGGTGTGCCTACTTTTCCAGGAAAAAAGTATAAAGCTGGAGTGGAAAAATAATCAGAAATGGGATTTCTGTAGGAGTTCAGGCAAGTAACAGGTTTACCACTTACCGTATTTATCGGCGTATAACACGCACTTTTTCCCCCCTGAAAATAGGGGGCAAATGATGTATGCGTGTTATACGCCGATATAATGTTAAGAAGCCTTCGGTGAATGCTGCTGGGATCGGGGATCAAGGACACAAATGAAAGAAGGGGAGGGAGGAAGCAACCGAAGCCTGTCCTTCTCTCTGGGTCAGCTCTCTCAGTCGCTCTCTCGCTCCTCCACCAGCACAGGAAGAAACTGCTTCAAAGAAGCGGGGGGGGGGCTTTTCCTGTCGCCGCAGCTTCCCTGAAGCGCCCGTTTCTCCCCCACCCCGTCCGCCCGCCCGCCCGCCCGCAGTGCTCCGTTCTGCCTGCCTGCCTGCCTTCGTTAATGGTTGAATCGGAACAGCTTCGGCTGAGTAAAAGAGGCGAATAGTTATTATTCTCAGCCGAAGCTGCTCCCAAACAACCAGAAACTAAGGCAGGCAGGCAGAATTTGTTTTAATTTTTTTTCCTGAAATTTCCCTCTTAAAATGAAGATGCGTGTTATACGCCTGTGCGTGTTATACGCCGATAAATACGGTAATTCAAAAGACTTCGTAACTGATTGTGCCTGATAATTATAGTTACAAAATTCAAGATATGTACATCTGAACTAAAAATATAGCTGGTATCTGACCTAGATTGGTAACAATGTTTATTTTATACCGGAAAAATATTTTTAAAAAGAGATGTGAAAATTTACTGCTTAAAATTCAGAATTTTCTTAGATAAGATTTTGTTAAAAATGTATTTCAGGAACTAAGTACATTTAATATTTAGAACTAGGAAAGCAATGAGTGATATACCTTTCAAAGCTACAGAAAAATTAGGCCTTGTTTGAGAGGCATAGACTACTCATATTTTCCAGTTTTAATAATAATTTATTAAATTTATATGCAGGGGTAGGGGAATTGTAGATATGTGAGGTTACATAATAAATTTAAAAAATTATCCTGGTTTCCAATCACTCTTAGAAAAATTATATTTTGTGGAGGTAAACCAATCAGTCAAAATAACCAGGACTGAACTAAAACAAAAATAGTCTGGCATTTAGTGGAACTTTTACCTGCATTTCTCTAATTCTATTTATTTTCTGATTGTTCAGAAACTGATCTCAGATGTTCCAGTAAAAAAGCAGTTTTCGTGTCTGAAAACATTAATTGCTTGTTTTTATTACTACTGAGATAAAAAAAAAATTCAGACCCATGTTAAAAATGTTTTTCAGACCCATGTGATGAGACTAAATCCAAATGACCAATTGGTAGAATTAGCACCAGTTCAAAAACAAAAGGTATTGTTGAATTGTTTATATAATTCATGTTGTTTACTTTTCATGCTTTTTTTACCAGTAATGAAACCTGGGGAACTACTGGCCTGCAGGTTGAATGCACTCTCAAAAGTTTTAACAACTTGCCCATGACATTTCAGGTGCAATCCATCTTTCCCATGATCCCTCTCTCCATCTTGCCTTTCTCCATCTTTCCCATCTTTTATCAAGTGTTCAGGAGAAAGGTAGAGAGTGATGGTTTCCCATCTTCTTTGACAAATAAGAGAACTAATCCATTCTTCCCTGTGTGCAAAAAATGCTTTAAATGACTATCTTTTTCCTCCCTGTATGTGTAAGCAATATTTTTATCCATATGATGGATTTACAGGAGATAGGATTTCAGCAGAGGGATCCTACCAACCCCAAAGTTGTGTTCCTTGATTACACAGGTTTGAAATGAATAATTGTTATACAAAACAAATTATGCACAATTTTGAGTGGCCTCAGAATATTTTTTCTGCATTAAAACCTTCAGATTATGTAAATCTTTATTTTCAAAAAGCAGTTTGAACCACCTGCCTAATCAGTTGAAATGTTAAAAACAGTTCTTTTTTGGAAAATGTATATTATAGGACATGATAGTATATTTTTTAATTTTTTCCTGCTTACCAGAAATTACAATAATAATTTAAGATTATATAACTTGGCAATAATGTGAGAAAACAAATATTGCGATATTCCTTTGCATTGTTTTATCAGCTGAAAATTACTTTCTTGCTTACCCTCAACCAAGAGGTTAACACAAGTCAGTTGCTAGAAGAGATAGAATGCGATTTGCATGCATTTACGGAAAAAAACCTCAAGTCAGAGAACCCTGATACGTCAATGAAAGGGTTTACATGCTATGTCTCCAGTTAGTACTGTTAAAACTTTAAATGGCCTTGTTCTCAAAAGTATTATTTTACTTAGTTTCATAATGGAAAGTACCTTTGTATAGGGCAGAGGATGGGGAGAAGAGTATACACACTAATAACTTTTTAATGTATCTTAACTCCTAAATCCTAGATCAGTGTCGTAATCTAATTGATTATCTTACAAACATGGAATTCTCCCACTATTGGAAGCCACCTTGCTGAATTTACATGCTTTACATTCAATAAAAATATTTGCATTCTTTACATGCAATAAAATAAAGTTCTTTTGTGCAGAAACTGTATATATGCATGCTAGAGCAATGCAGCTGACAAATAAGACAAGTATATTTTAAAACTGAAAATCAGAATTGGCAATTGTATCATGTTAATGTAAATGTAATCTGAAAAATAAGCAAGCAGATTGGAATGTTTTATAATCCTGAATTTTACAACTATTTTGTAGATTAATGAAAACTATTTAAAGAAGTGTGGAACATACTTACAAGTAGTTCTCCAGTTTTGACTGTTTGTTTTAACAGCTATTACAAATTATGATTAAAAAGTGCTTCACAGCCCATAAAGTACTTCTGGCTATCATAAAATATCATATATATACCCACACAAACACACATCCTGCAGACAGGAAAGGTTGCAAGCTGCTGCTACCTGCTATGGAAAATGAGGCTCCATGCTGGCAAGCAGTTCTGAAGGCAAAAGGGCTACTACCAAGGGGACTTCCATACTTCCACTGTTAGGTTGCAGAAACAGAAGTCAAATCCTAAAGACCTGAGCTCCATTTTGACAGCCCTTCAAAGGAGTTCTCCACATAAGAAGGGAGATAAACTTCTGCAGTGGGCTGTAGGGAGAGAGCTAGGATCTTCAGTATCTGAATGGTTTCTCCACCCTGCAGGAGTTTGTTTCTCCTCTGTGCATGGAAGAGATCTGGTGGACTGCCTACCAAAACAATTCTCTTCCATCCATGGAGGGGAGACGAACTCTAGCAGGGGTGAGAAATGGAACTCATGTCCTGAACATCCCAGCTGGCAGCCCACCAGAGCAATTTCCTTCTGTGTACGGATGAGAGCTGAGCTTAGCAGGCAACTGTTTTAACTCCATTTAATGACTCAGAAGTTCAAGTGTGCCAGTTTGCAGTCATTCATGAAGCAGTCAGGTGGGCGACTTGTTTAACAACCATTTTGCTCAACAGCTGAGCTTCCAGTCCCAATTTTGGTTATTAATTGAGGACCATCTGTAATATGACATGAGGATTATAATGATAAAACTAAAGGTATTTGGTGAAAATATATTTCTGTTTGCACAAAAGCACTTATCTTGCCTCCAGGACAGGTCAAATGCTTCATTCCATTATAATTTCTATAACTTGATTTACCCTGTTATGTTGATTCTGTTAACATGCAAAAGCCTATTATTGTATAAAACATAGAAACCTGAAGCAGAGAAAAGAGTGTAAGGGTGTCTAAAGTGGTTCGTGCTTTTTTAGATGTTAGTGTTACTGTTTTAATTTTTTGCTTTTGCTATATTTAAGTCTGTTCTTCATTCTTTTATTGTCTGCAATTTTCATCTTCTGGTGCCTTTTTATTTGCCCTTACTTTGTTCTTAATTCTCTTCTTTTTTTTCTTTTTTTCTTGCTTCTCACATGGATTAGAAGAAAAGTAAGAATATGAAACTGAAAATTTATGGTAAGGGTGGGTTGAAAAAATCCGATCGTACCCAGTTTCAGGACAGCTTAGAGTCTGGAAAATCATCTTCTCATTTGGAGTCTTTGGCTTCAAAAAGTTTTGAAAAAGATTCCTGTACTAAAAAAAATAGCTACAATGCTTTTGTGCAGAAAGTTAAGCCTTATAAAAAGTGTTCAGGAAATAAATCTGAAGAGCTTTCTATTATTGCATTAAATTATGATACTCAACAAACTGTAAAAGAAGCATTTAAAGTGACAAAAAAGAAAAATATTGACAAAATAAATTCTGGGCCAACTCAGCAAGAAGTGCTGTGCAGCCATTCTAGTAACGATCAGCTGGAAAAACAACATGAAGATCATCAGAAAAATAAAGTAGAAGCTAAACCTGATCAATATATTATGCAAGGTAATAACAATAGTGAAAAACAAAAAGAATATAATCACAAAGAAAGAATTACAGAACAATTAGTAGTAAGAATGCCATCTTTCTTAAGTCAGGAAATGATAAAGAAGTCAGCAATGTATATTTTTGAGATAAACCAATTTAATTTTGAAAATGTGACAACTACTGAAACACGTATAGAAGACAGAAATAATAAATGGGAAAGCAATCAAGCTGATTATAAAGAAAAGAGAAATTTAAATGTTAACAATATGCAAAATGAAAAGAAAAATATGGATGATACATCAGAGAAGGATACCCCGGAAGAAAATCCAGAAAATGACCAAGGCAATAAAGAAGATGAAGTAAGTGTGGAAGAGACTGAAAGAAAAGATGGCGCACAAGAAAAAGACAGTGACAGCGAAGAAAAATCTGAAGAACAGGAAGTTGAAAATGAAGCAGGTGAATGCATGGTGGATGTTATGATAGACATCAAATGTGATGAAGGAGAAAGCGAAAATGATGAATTACAACCTGAAACAGAAAATGAGCAGAATCTGGAGGAAGAGGATAACTTTCAGATAAGACAAAAGAAAGATGACTCAGATAATAAACTGCAAGAGTTAGAGGAAAGAGACATATATGAGCCAGAAAAGGGGAAAAAACCTAACATCAAGAATGACCAAATTAAGGACAAAATGAAAAAAATAGAGAAGGAAAAGGATAATGAAGATGTGGAAGATGAGAAAGAAAATAGAAAAGAGGGAGAAGTAGAAAAGGACAATCAGCAAAATTATGAGGAATTTGAAGATGGAGAGGAAAGTGGTGAAACTATGGTGATGAAGAACAGCACAAAGGAAGAGGAACTTGAAGAACAGGATCAGGAAGAGACTGAAAGAGAGGAAGAAGGACAAGAAAAGCAAGAGGGAGAAATTGAAAGAGAAGTAGATGAAGGAAGTGTGGGATGCGGAGAAGAGAAAGAAGATGAGGAAGAGGGAGACAATGAAGTAGGAAATGACCCAAAAATTTACGAAGGGAAAGAAGAACAAAGTGAGAAGGAGGGGGAGGAGGAGGAGAAAGAAGAAGAAGAAGAGGAGAAAGAAGAGGAAAAAGAAGGTGAGGAGGAGGAGAAAGAAGAAGAGAAGGAGGAGAAAGAAGAAGAGGACAAGAATGAGGAGTTGGAGGACAAAGAGGAGGAGGAGGAGGAAGAGAAAAAAGAGGAGGAGGAAGAAGAAGAGGAGGAGGAGGAAGAAGAGGATGAGAATGAGGAGTTGGAAGACAAAGAAGAGGAGGAGGAGGAAAAAGAAGAGGAGAAAGAAATTGTTGAGTGTGGAAAGGAAGAAAAAGTAGGCAAAAGCCCCAAAGATCAAAAACATAAAGAAAATAATAAAAGGAAAAATCAAAATACAAGCAGCAAAATAAAAAACATTAAAGAAAAAAGACCACTGAAACAAGCCGTGAATGGATTTCAAAACATACACGAGTTTTGGAACAATGTTTTACCACATTACTTGACGCTAAAGTAATCCTGGAGACTAGAAATAATTTTTCAGAAAGCTATAGTATAATGTCTGTATACAATACCTGCTTTAATGAGTGTGTGTGTTCACTGTGTGACACACCCACAGACACCCACAGTGTGTGTGTGTGTGTGTGTGTGTGTGTGTGTGTGTGTGTGTGTGTGTATATATATATATATATATATATATATATATATATATATATATATATATATAAAATTGATTAAAAAAAAACCCTCATCCCTTGAATCTACTCTTAAACATCTAAAATGTGAGTTTCTTTCCATCTATGTAGGATAAATCTCACCAAATGTCCTTGGTCATTAGAACGAGAATTCTTCATAAAATATAACATTCCCTATTTTGAAGTATAATTCCATATCATATTAATTAATTTTTAAACCTGACCTGTCATATATATTAACATGTCTAGAATAAACTTGTAAATTATGGCTTCCTACCTCCATTTCATCATAAAATAGATGATGTAGTGCAGTTAGTTAGTAACCGGTCTATATAGAACCAGATCCCTTGGTGCTCTTTCTAATGTGTCCTCGCTGTATAATTCCCTGAAACATTTGACCAACTACATTCATTGCCACAATGCCCTAAACGCAGCCTTCCCAAGTTGATGCCTCCAAATGTTTTAGACTCAGCAGTGTGAGGAACAAGACTTGCACAGGAGTAGCATAAATATTGCTAGTTAATCTACATAATTCACATCCAATTCTAATTCAATATACTCTTGATTGATGGGAGTTGTTTTAGTAACCAAATACACTGGAGAGCACCAAGTTGAGGGTATCCTTCAGAGTTGGGTTACCATTTAATATTATTTAGACACCTTTTATATTTGCATTCAGTAAACATATAGATTGTTAAAAATCAGTGTAAAATAATCCAAATAATACACGATTATTAGAAAATAGAACAGCATAGTCAATGTACATGATGTGCCTTATGGCAATTATGATATGCTTTAATAATTGTTATTATATGCATACATGGCTGTAATGAATTTCATTTTGGTTTTACCCGAGAATTTATAATAAAAAAAAGTCTGCTAAGGATTTAACTGTCAACCTGCAAAATGACTTCAGCTGAAGCCATGCTTACCTCTGCTTCATTTCTTGGTTACCATTCAAGGGGCACAAGGGAGAGCATGGGGGAGGGGGACTCAGGAATGTTGTGCCTTAACTGGCTAGCCATAATATTTACCGGCCAGTGTGTGAACCAAGGTCATTTCAACGGACACTTGTTGGAGTTGAGCGGGAACCTGCATCTGGACTGATTGGCCTGAGAGACAAAGGGGTGGGGGTGGGGATGTCTCATTCTTTTAACTATCCCTCAGTGCAGGAATAATTTAGAGTTAGCTTCACCTTTCTAAGTGTCGATATGATGTACTCAATAAAGGATATCTTGAACCTGAACAAAGTGTCAGAATCCTGACTTCCTGGAGTTCATTACTTGGAACGATGACATCAAGCTAGCTCTGTTCAATCTACCAAAATTCACCTGGGACCCTTAAGACCCGGCCAACCACCCGATATTGACCGTGAAGGTTGGAAAACCACAGGGGGTGATGACAGAAGGCATCTCGAGGGGAGCTGAGACTGGTGAACCTGAGGTGATCCCAGTGATGGCGTTGGTGACCATGCTAGCGACAGGGGAAGCCCAGCAGCTGGACATCCACCCAAAAATTCTGGTGGAGCTGACGCACCGGCAGCCTGCAGTGAGCCGGTGGGACTGAGAGCCCTCATCTGACAAGCTGAAGGATGGTGGCAATGGCCTTTGAAACCAAAGCCCCAGCGGTGTGACAGCTGATTTAATGTATCTGAAAGAGTGTCATGTAGACAACCTTTACATAATGTAGGATAAGAAACAATAGATTTAAATTATAAGAAAGTAAATTTTAGTTAGGCATCAAGAAAAACTCTGTAACAGCAAACACTGTTTGGCAAAGGAATGGGGTGGGAATGGATCTTCTCTTTCAATTAAGGTATTTAAACGGAGTCTGGAGAGTCATCTGTTGGTCATGATGCAGTAATGGAATCCTGTTCTGGGCAGTGGTTAAAAGATAATTTCCATAGTTCTTTCCAAACTTTGCGTTCTGTGATTCTAAACAATAAAGCTACACTACAAGTTGCCCTTAACTTATAACTGTTTATTTAACAATGGCTTTGAATTAACAACAGCCTATGAAAAAGTCTGTTATGGCCTGAATTCGAATGTATGACTTCCACCTTCTTCCTGTGGTCACATGACCACAATTTGGACACTTAATAGCCAGCTCCTATTTATAACCATTTGCAGCACCCATTGTCATGTGATCATGATTTGCCATTGGTTAAGCTAGCTTTGCACTTATGACTTAATTATGACCATGGTGACTTGACTTATGATTGTGGTAAAAATGGTTGGACATACTTTGTGAGCTTACTGGATTTTTTATTGTGTAGCACATGGGAACATTAGAAATGATATGGTAGCTTTGTAGCTGTTTATCCTACTCATGTGGAAAGAGAGTGAGACCCTACTTTTTATAGATATCTACCTTCCACTGGATAATCTGATACTAAAAATAAAAGGATCAGAAGTCAGAAAATACAGTAGGTAGAAGACTAGATTGTTTTCCCTCCCTTGCATTGTACATACTATGCAATCAGAAAAGACATAAAATGTACAGGTAGATTGCACAAGTATACTTTGGGCTATTATTGAAATGGCACTTTCATTTTTGCATATACTCAGTTTCAAATTGAGGCTATGTTTTAATAAATGCGTCAATTTACCAATACAAATGTTATTTTATAAAATACAGCTTTGGCAATTATGAGTTTACGTGGCCAAACTGCTACTAAGGTAAGTCACTTTATGATACATTACTTCAGTAACTTATAAATTGCTGGGTATTTTTAAATAATTGGAAGAGGTCCAAACAAAGTAATATATCTGTATTTCAGTCTTATGAATATTGGATTATAAACTGAAATTACTGTAAACCAAACAAGTTGTATCTCTCTTTTGTTTTTATTAGTATTCTTAGAAAATGTTCAGTTTACTATATCTTAATGTAATTAGAAGTATTTCCAAGTCATACGCCATTTTATGTTTATAGTTTTTCTATCTTTGTAATATAGAGTTTTGCATAGATTGCAGCACTTTTTGCATTATAGTTGATGATGTCATAAAAATATCAATAGGAAACAGACAGCAACACAAACAAAAATTCTTACTTTAAGATCAGAGGTTGATTGTTTCTAATAATTTGGCACATGAACTGAATAGATATAAAAGATACAATAGCAGTAATACACTTACATTAATAAGCCATTGCAATGGGGTCCAATGACACATAGCAGGTCCTGTAAGGACTGCCATAAATCAAAGGGCCCCGAGCTGATCTCCAACCCTATCCTTTATACTTTTCTTCTAACCACATACACACTTCACAACTTCACTGTCACTTTCCTTAAACACCTATGTACATTACTTTCAGTTCCTCATTTCCAACAGTTTCATTCTTCCTGTTTTAAACTTATCCATCCAAGTTCATAGTTTGCAAAAATATGTTTTCACAGTTAGCAACAGCTCAGCAGGATTACAAATAGTTCTGGTATATTTTGAAACCTTCCTGGCTGAAAACTTTGGTTCATGTCTCTTTCTTCTGGGGCCTGCTATCATCCATAGGCTTATTGAATCTAATAGATCAATAAGCTATATCTTTGATTCTCACAATCGTCACTTCTTGTTCATAAGAACAACACAAAATGAAACATACAAAGCAATATCTGCACATAAGCTACGTTATCTCAATTATGGAAGTAAGTGAAATAAACCAAAATCCTTCATTTGAGATGAAGGAGGACACCTACATTGATTAAAAGGAATTTTAGCAAGGCAAATATATAAAGGGGATAGACAGGCTGAACCATTTGAATGGTGGGACATGCAACCCTAAATACAGCATGGTACTGAAGAGGAGGAATGCAGCAATGGTCTAGACTGCAGGCTGTTTCTTGCAGTCATCACTGGGCTGCCATGAAGCTGGTCTTTTGTAACTTGATGCTGGCGTGGATTTGGGTGAAGTTTGCATGGAGAGCGGGAGCAGAGGTTACTAGCACTTGTCTCCCTGTTGGGCAAAGCTTCAGTCCTTGCCTTGTAGCACTCAGGTGACCTGAGCTGAGTGGCTTCCTTGTCTGGGGCTGGTACCTTCTTACAGTGCAAAGCATGCACCCAGGAGGCTAGATGTTGACAGCAGTATTGGTGGTCAAGATGATCTGGAATGGAATGGACCCTTCCAACGAGGAGCCAGGCAATTCCTTCATTGAAATACCTTCACCAGTCCCAATTGCCAGGTGGCAACGTGTGGCAAGGATGTAGAGTCTCTTTGGGGAGTGCAGCGGCAACCTGTGAATGACACATCTTTAAGGTTGTGACAAAGACATGGCAATAGTCTAACATGATACTGTCCAAGGCTTGTATGTCAGCCAGGTTCACCACAGATGGAGGAGACCCGAGGGTACAGGTAGAGCAAAAATGTTTAGCCAGAACATGAAATCCAGGAGCAAACCGTTTTTATGTTTAGCAGAAGACACTCCCTCCTGGCCAACATGGGCAGGGCCATGTTGGAGACGAACAAGATAGGACAAAAGAGAGCCTGTGCAAATAGGGTGGCTGTCTAGATGATGCCACACCCCTGTAGAATCAACAGTACAGTCAGAGTTGCACCATACATGGTGTTCAGAGGCAGGAGCAGAGGCCTGTGCATCTGTGAGATGACCAAGAGAAGCAGGAACAGAAGATGGACGAGGCATTTCACAACAGCAACTTGAGAGGGCAGGTGCAGTGCATCCAACAGATCTTTAACATACTCAGCATTCTTTATTGGAGATCCTTGATTTAATTTTCATCCAGGTCCTGCATTTGATAAACACTCTCCACCTTTCCCATCAACCTCATTGCATGTACACCATATGCCACTATCCTCTATGCCTATTTTATCCTGATTAAATGCACTTTTTCATGGAACAGAAGCATAATAGCATCTGGAACAGAGGACACTGATATTATTTGGTTTAGGCACTCCTTAACATTACTTATAATGGTGTTA